TGTCTTGGGGGTCTCTGGGACGTCTCCGGTGACCCCCCTGATCGCCCTGGGTGTGCTGCGAAGGCTTGGCAAAACGCCCTGCGAGGCCCAGGGGGCCGCTTCGAGGCCCGTCCAGAGGGTCCCAAAACTGCAGATTCTGGGGGTCCGGTTTTATGGGGGGGGGACGGGTTTTCCCCCCGCCCGGGCTTATAAACATATAGGAAGAGGAATCCATATATATATATATATATATATATATATATATATTATATTTATATCTGTATACATATATACATATATATACATATATATATACATATGTATATATACACAACACACACTCAGAAACAACGTAACACACGCATTTGAAAACGAATGTAAAACAAACAAGCAACTGAAATTATCCGGGCGAGGCACCCAACCACATGCAGTTGTGAGTTCCGCAGTAGTGCGTATTCTCTTCGGTGGAGCTCCCTATGGGGCCGCGAATCGTGTGAGGGTGTGCCGACATGGGTGGCGAGGACGCATGTGGTCACAGCCACTGAGGCCTTCGGTGGACCGCCCTACGGGGCCATGACCAGTGTGAAGAGCGTACAGAACTGGGTGGCGGGGATTCATGTGGTCACAACCACGGAGGCCTTCGGTGGAGCTCCCTGTGAGGCCACGACACGTGTGAGGGGTGTGCCGACATGGGTGGCGGGGACGCATGTGGTCAGAACCACTGGGGTGGCCACGAAACATGTGAGGGGTGTGCCGGAATTGGTGGCGTGGACGCATGTGGCCACAGCCACTGAGGCCTTCGTGTGAGGGGTGTACCGAAATTGGCGTCGGAGGGCTGAGGCAGGAACGTGATGCCGATGGTGACGGCGATGATGATGATGATGATGATGATGATGATGATGCTGATGATGATGACGATGACGATGACGATGACGATGATGATGGTGGTGTTCCGATGATGATGATGATGATGATGATGATGATGATGATGATGATGATGACTGTGGTGATGATGATGATGCTGCTGATGATGATGCTGATGATGGTGATGGTGGTGATGATGATGATGATGATTATGATGATGATGATGATGATGATGATGATGATGATGATGATGATGATGACTGTGATGATGGCGGTGGTGATGGCGGCACGCGGAGGGCAGAGGCACGGATGGGAGGATGGGGATAAAGGAGGAGAGTAGAGGACACGCGGGGCGCTCTCTCTTCAAAACTAAGACCCAACACCACAGGATGGTTGGGAAACAAGAAATAGATGAAAACATCACATTCGTATGTGTTCATATGTTTCTACAGTTTGGAAATCATGCTTCGTAATTTTGTTCCACAATGTAGTTGTTAACCAAAAACTTGATCCTGCGCTGTGATCGCACACTGCAGATATAGGGCGCACTCAAGGAAACGGTCACTGCAAACCCACGTCCCGTGCTGCTTCTAACAAGCGGGGGAGGTATACCCAGAAGGCCACCCCCCACGCCCAACGCGCGTGCCCCGAATGCGAATCTAATACGTGTGGGGTTAGCGATCTCGCCGCAGAGAAGCGGCGGGATCCTCCGACCCCATTTACTCACTCACTCACTCACCCGTGCCATACGCCATCGCTTTGCGGGAATGGCGGCACGCTGGCGGTTGACCAGTCTGCTTTGTGCGTGGTAGCAGGAGTAGGAGGAGTACTTAGGAGAAGGAGGAGGAGGAGGAGGAGGAGGACGAGACGAGACGAGACGAGACGAGACGAAATCAGCCTCAAACCTTCGCCAATCGACCCCATCTACGCTGGCCAAATTCGCGCCGCCTGGATTCGAGGTGGGGCGCTCCCCACAACCCCAGATGTCTGGCCACTGGTGACGGTCCGAGCAGCGCCTGGCTGGCAAGGCCCCCTCCCCGCCCGACGGTGTCCCCTGGCGCTGCCCGACGGCAAAGGGTCTCCCCCGACGATGCCGAGCTGGCAGAGACCACCTGGCGCTGCCGGCCCGCCTGGTCTGATGCGGCGCCCGGCTGGCAAATACACCCTGGATTTGGAGCTTCAGAGGAACCTGACAGCGTCGGTTTAGATGACAGGTCCTGGGCCCGTGTCGAGGAGCCCTTTTCGTCGAGGAGCTTGAGCGCACTAAGATCATTCTCGCTGTTCGACCATACCAGGGTCCAGGACGGCCGTAGGGCCGTAGATGCCTCCAAGACTTCCCTGAGACGCCCCCCAAGCCCCACGGAGGTGTCCGGGCCCCATGACGGGGAACGTAAAGGGGCCCCAGGAGCATTCCGTCCAAAGATGACAGCCAAGACCAAATATGTGCAACCAGCTCAAACATTCCAGAATCGCACTTTTTCTCAAACAAAAAACAAAAAAAAACCTGGCGAAGGGCCCGACCATGTGCAGCTGCGAGTATCGCGAGGGAGATAAGACGAACCGTGTGAGGGGTGTGCCGAAATGACTGCCTGGAACGCATGTGGACGCACCCCGTGGAACCTTCGGTGGAGCTCTCCATGGGGCCACGAACCGTGTGACGGGTGTGCCGAAATTCATGGGACGCATGTGGACGCACCCCCTGGGGCCTTCGGTGGAGCTCCCCATGGGACCAGGAACAATGTGAAGGGTGTGCTGACATTGGGTGACGGGGACCCATGTGGCCACACCCCCTGGGGCCTTCGGTGGAGCTCCCTGTGAGGCCACGAGCCGTGTGAGGAGTGTACCGACATGGATGGCGGGGACGCATGTAAACTGTGCCATGCAGACCTTCGGCGGAGCTCCTATGGGGCCACGAAACGTGTGAGGGGCGTGCCGAAATGAGTGGCGGGGACGCATGCGAACTGCGCCACTCGGGCCTTCGGCGGAGAGCTCTTATGGGCCACGGAGCGCGTGGGGGGCGTGCCGAAGTGGGTGGCGGGGACACATGCGAACTGTGCCATGCAGACCTTCGGTGGAGCTCCTATGGGGCCACGAAGCGTGTGAAGGGCGTGCCGAAATGGGTGGCGGGGACGCATGCGAACTGTGCCACTGAGACCTTCGGCGGAGTTTCTATGGGGCCACGAGCGTGCCGGAGTGAGTGGCGGGGACGCATGCGAACTGCGCCACTCGGGCCTTCGGCGGACCTCCGATGGAACCATAAAATGTGTGAGGAGTGCCGAAATGGGTGGCGGGGAAGCATGCGAACGGCACCACTGGGACCTTCGGCAGAGCTCCTACGGGGCCACGAAACGTGCGAGGGTTGTGCCGAAATGGGTGGCGAAGACGCATGCGGATTGTACCACCGGAACATTCGGCGGAGCTCACATGGGGCCAGGAAACGTGTGAGGGGCGCGCCGAACTGGGTGGCAGGGACGCATGCGAACGGCACCACTAGGACCGTCAGAGGAGCTCACATGGGGCCACAAATCGCGTGAGGGGCGTGCCGACATGGGTGGCGGGGACGCATGCGAACGGCACCACTGGGACCTTCAGCAGAGCTCCTATGGGGCTTCGGAACGCGTGGGGGGCGTGCCAGAATTGGTGGCGGGGACGCATGCGAACTGTGCCATGCAGATCTTCGGCGGAGCTCCTATGGGGCCACGAAACGTGTGAGGGGCGTGCCGAAATGAGTGGCGGGGACGCATGCGAACTGCGCCAATTGGGCCTCCAGCGGATCTCATATGGGGCCGCGAAACGTCAGAGGGGCGTACCGAAATGGGTGGCGGGTGCGAATGCGAACGGCACCACTGGGACCTTCAGCTGAGCTCCTATGGGGCCACGTAACGCGCGAGGGGCGCGCCGAAGTGGGTGGCGGGAACGCATGCGAACGGCACCACTTGGACCTTCGGCGGAGCTCCTATGGGGCCACGGAAGTGGGTGGCGGGGGCGCACGCGAACGGCACCGCTGGGGCCTTCGGCGGAGCTCCTATGGGGCCACAAAACGTGTGAGAGGTGTGCCAAAGTGGGGGGGGTGACGATGATGATGGAGGAGGGAGAAGGGGAGGAAGAAGGAAAGAAGGGAGGAGGGAACGCGGAGACGGTTCCTTCAACCGAAACACAACACCACAGGATGGCTGGGAAGAAAGCCTGGCGAAGGGCCCAACCATATGAAGTTGTGGATACCGTTGCTGTATGCACAGCAGTCGGTGGAGCTCCCTTTGGGGCCACTGAACGTGTAAGAGGTGTGCCAAAATGGGCGCGGTGGGCGAGCGCTGGTATCTGGGCCTTCGGTGGAGCTCCCTATGGGGCCATGAATCGTGTGAGGGGTGTGCCAAAATGGGTGGCGGTGGGCGCATGCGAGTGCTGGCATCTGAGCCTTCGGTGGAGCTCCATATGGGGGCCACGAAACATGTGAGGGATGTGCTAAAGTGGATGCGGCGGCCTCATGCGAGCGCTGGCATCTGGGCCTTCGGTGGAGTTCCCTCCCTATGGGGCCACGAAACGTGCGAGGGGTGTGCAAACATGGGCGCGGTGGGCGCATGCGAGCGCTGGCATGTGGGACTTTGGCGGAGCTCTCTATGGGGCCACGGAGCGCGTGAGGGGTGCGCCAAAATGGGCGCGGTGGGCGCATGCGAGCGCTGGCATGTGGGATTTTGGCGGAGCTCTCTATGGGGCCACGGAGCGCGTGAGGGGTGCGCCAAAATGGGCGCGGTGGGCGCATGCGAGCGCTGGTATCTGGGCCTTCGGTGGAGCTCCCTGTGTGACCTCGAAGCGTGTGAGGGGTGTGCCAAAGTGAGGGAGGAGGGGAGGAGGGGGAGGAGGAGGAGAAGAGGAGAGGGATGAGACGTGGGTATCTCTTCAAAACTATGACCCAACACCACAGGATGGTTGGGACCAAATGCAGACTACGCCAGAAACCCAGACATCCGAAGATTTGATGAATTGATGGTTCAACCCACAGGCCCCAAGAACGTGTCGAGCCCATCCACGTGGACAGTGTTTCGCAACGGATGCATCTTGCTGGCCGAGGCCCGAAACGCCTCCCCCGACGCAAACATGAGGGCATCCTCCTAGGATCGAGCAGAAGGAGAAAACAATCCGTCCGAAGTCTGGGGCACCACACGCGGGTTCCGCTTGTTCGGCGCGTCAACTGCAACCGTGTTGAACTCGATCTCGCGGAGCCCGATCACCAGCTGGCCGACCTCGGGGAAGTGAGCCATTGCTTTCTTTCCGAATGCAACTAGAAGAAAGAACGTACGCGGCCGGCGGTAGCAATAATCAAGGGAACAATGAAGGTCGTGGTGCGGACGAGATTGTGCGTGGCATGAGTGGCTGACCCCCAGCCCTGAAGTTCCAGGATCTAGCTTGTGGTGGGGGCGGAGTGTACGGATGCGGCGATCTCGTCATCTCCCGCCCCAGACCCTGAAAGCTCCAACATGTCATCCGAGATATCACAATATGTCCCAAACTGGAGCAAGGGGGCATCCCATATGCCTCGAAGAGGCACAAAGCCAACTCCCAGATTGCTCGAAGAAACCATGGAACCTCGCAAGAATGCCCCCGAGAAGCCTCAACCGTCTCGTAACGAAATGTGTGTTCTATATGTGTTGCTACCTCGCCGTCCCGCTTCCAGTGAGCCTCTGGAGCCTCAAAAAGGCTCCAACGTGGCCCAAGGGCGACCAAAGAAACACCCAGAAGGACCACGACACATGCACGTTAATTGAGCACCGCTCCTCGTTTGATCGAAGAATAGCTCCAAGCAGAGGACCACGAAGGCCCCGAAAAGCCCGAAGGGAGTCCCAAGAGGGCTCCGAATGTTCCCAAAACAGCCCCAAAAGGGTCTGCGAGAGGCTCCGAGGATCCCTGAGATAGCCATGTGGGGCTGCGCCTGCTCGTGCTGATCCCAGGCTATCGCCGAAAACTCCGTCTGCGGTCGACAGAACTGGGCCACGCTTCTTGGACTCAAGGTCGGCAACAGCAAACATCACCACACCGTGTTGCAGCGGTGGCCGTGGATCATATCCCCTGTAGTGGCCTGGTCCGACTTTGTGAAACGAACCCATCATGACTACAGCTCCTGAAAACAGCAGCTTATCAAAATGTATGTCTGCGACTGGTTCGGCGCTTCCTCGCATGAAAACAACCATGTGTCGAACGGGCCTCGAGGGACGTCCAAGAGACAACGCAGGGGGGGGGCACAACGACAAATACGTCCCTGTTAGCCAGCGTGGATCCCAGGCATCAAGGTACTCCACAGGGGATGTGGAGATTGAGATGTAAGCTCTGTGGTTCAAGTTATCTGGTGCAAGCTGCGCGGTTCGAAGCATGTGGCGTACGCGACATGGTGATTCGGTCTTGCCAGCCCACGAGCTGTCAGCTCCACGGCCCGCTCGCCCGTAGCGTGGATTGCAAAACCCACGCAGCCGCGATAGCGGAGGCTGTGTTCGGCCCTGGCTGGCGCATCTCTGCGGCCGCGCTGGCGCGCGCACGCTCGCGCGACGCGCGGACAGCTGGCTTGGCGCAACCGACGCGGCCGCAATGGCTCTTGCCGATTGGAACTTCACACCGCCTCTCACTGCGGCTCGGTCAGTCGGGCGGGCGCTTTCGCCTGATGACGTCGGCAGCGGCAACATCGATGCTGATAGTAACGATGGTGGTGGTGGTGACGATGATGACTACAACGGCAAGGCTCACGACGGCGCCCCGTTTCTGGCGACGACGATGACTAGGATGACCTCCATGCGTCGGTGAAGAAAATGAGTGACCGATGATGGCCGTGTGGCGATGACGATAACAGCGGTGATGCGATGACGCTGATGCGGGTGATAGCGAGGAAACGGATGCGCGCGGAAATTCAAGAATTCAGGCCGTGTTGTTGTTGAGCCAACTTGGCCGTGATATGTGCTTGAAGAGCTCTGTTTTAAAATGCGCAGGGAACAAATGGTTTGGGAAGGATTTCGAACCGCGTGCGCAGCGGCGAGTGTGGCCCGCATGGTGTTATTTGATGCTGCTTCGTGCACTGGGCGCGTGGTAGATCAACGCAGATGCGACGTCTGGTGAGATGAGAATGCGGATTCTGAACCAGAGTGCCAAACATCATCTGGTGTTCTACGCAATCGTCAAATGCGCGCGGGCAGACAACCTGCAAGGTTTGCGATGAACAACCTAATAGGTGTATGTATTCAGGTTGACACGCATGCAATACATGTGCTTGCTATGATTGGGACATGTGTGCACGCGCGGGGACTTTGCGTCATTTGTCGCGCAGGACTATTTAATCTTGATCTTTCGAAGTAAGCGCGTGTGCACGTTTGACAGGGACGACGGCGGGGGTCAATACTGGTTGGGCTGAGATGGTCTTAGCTCGTATGGAAAACGAACGATGAGGCAGAATCTGATATAAATTGCAGTGTCCGAGGAGGGCGATAAGTCTGGGCTCGGGAGTAGGCGGATCCGATCTTTGTCGAAAGGACTATATAGTTACGACGTGCAAAATATGTGGTGCAAGCTGTGGTGCAATCTCTGTGGTGTAAGCTGTGTGGAAGCGCGGCGACAAGGAGGCAACGTGGCGAACAATTCGCCAGACACACCCAGCGCACGAGGCGGTCACGCGGCGGCCACGGGAGGCAACGTGACGAAAACTTTCCAGAACCATCGGATTCCTTAGCGACGCAACTAAGAAATCCCAAGCGCAAGCAATGTCTGGGGAACAGCATGCCGAATATAGAAAACAATCATCCAATGGGCAGTCCCGCCTGCATTCTTCTGGAGCGCGGCCAGGGTGCCAGCGAACGCTCTGCAACAGCCTCTGGCCCCAGGGATACATCGCGCACTCCGAGGGACATCACTGGGGGAACAGAAACACACCAGCACCACCTCCCAGACTTCCCGCCGGGGCGTTCTGACCAGGCTTCCGAAGCCATCCGGCCATGGCGACGAGCGCCCCCAGGAATTCCCGAAGGGCGAAGTGGGGGATGTGGGTACGGGGGGCAGCGGTATCGTGATCCTCTCCCTCCCCTGAGGAGCGGGGGCCCCGGATCGCAGATTCCCGCGCCCGTCCCGCCGATGCACACCAGAATGACACCGGCGGCACTCGGGCGAGGGGGGGAAAGCCTCGTCCCGAAACTGGGCAGATCCTGCCCGGGTGGGGGGGGCTCCTGGGTGGCCAGAATCAGAACTACACCCTGCGAAATGCTTTAGAAATCATGGGTTAAGAAATTTATAGTCTCAGAACTTGAATAAAAACCCAAAATTCCCATTCGAATCTTAGGATTTACACTGAAACATTAAGAATAATCGAGGCCCTGGCCGAAAATTTAGGTTTTCTTAAGCATCGCCTAAGGTGTACCAGCGTTCAGCAGAAGGCCGGGTCCGCCTGGCCCCTCGAAGCTGCTCCCGCGGCTCCCGCAGCCCCCTGCCGCAGCGCCCGAAAGCCAGCGTCCGCCCCTCCTCCGGCGTCGGCCTGGGCCTGCCGCTCCTGCCACTCCGCCGCGCCCAGTGGCGCCGCTGGGCTTCGGCTCGGGCCACTATGAAAAGGAGGAGGAGGAGGAGGAGGAGGAGGAGGAGGAGGAGGAAAAGGAGGAGGAGGAGGAGGACCTTCGCACGGCTTCGGAAGGGGTTCGGCTTCCTGGGTTTTGCCTGGGCGGCAACCACATCAATCGGGGTAGGAGGCTTGAAGACAGTGGGGCTCGTCTCAGAGGCCCTTGGGTGTATCCCCTCTGCAAGGCGCGCGTAGGCGCCTTCTGAAAAAGTGGAAGTGAATCGCTGGAAACAGCGCATCTGGAGGCTCTTAACGGTACACTCTGAATACTTGCCGCACAACTGACATGCAACAGTAAAACTCTCGTCGTCAATTCTGTCGAAAACTGCAAGCTTGTGACCATTCGGCTGCTCTGTTAGCTTAGCCAGACGAGCTGCATTGCCTGGGCACGACTCCTTGGCTCTGGAAAGTTTGACTTTGTCCGACATGTAACGCGAGTGGCAGAAACAGCAGAGCCAACATGTTTTCTGCCACGGCCACACATGCCCGACACGGGCACCCGGGCACGTGCGCGGGCAACACGGTAGGGCCGGGGAGGGGGAGGAGCCGCCGCAGCTCCAGGGCCCGAAGAGGACGAGGTAGCCCCTTCGGTTGTGGAGGCAGGAGGGCGGCTGAAGTCGATCGGGGCCGTGGGAGCCCAAAGCATTCGCTTTCAGCGAGCGACATGTGATTAGCGAGACAGTGCTGTTCAAGACGAGGCAGGCGAGGAGGAGGAGGAGGAGGAGGAGGAGGAGAAGGAGGAGGAGGAGGGGGAGGAGGAACAGGAGGAAGAGGAGGACCAGGACCAGGACCAGTGCAGATCCAAGACTCATCAACGATCTTGCAACTCCCTCCAAGTTCCCTCTTCACAAGCCCTTGCAAGAATTAGTTTTCGCTGAAGGAGATGCCCCGATGGAAGACAACCGTGTGAAAATGCGGATCTGTGCCAGAACACCATTCCTGGGAACTCAACGCCGCGAATCAAGGTTACTCTCGCGCCTTAACGATCCTAAACCGTGCCAGGGCACCATTCCTGGAATTTCAACACCGCGAATCAACCTGACTGCTGCGCGCTCACATTTCGACATAGTGCCCAAACAGCATTTCTGGACGCTCGCCATAAGAATCCTTTAAACTGTTGCAAACTCTTGCAACGGATGTGTGCGGCACTATGGCAAGAACCACATGTTGAAAAGATCCATCCTCTATATCCGTGAAACTCTTGCAAGGTGAAACTCTAAGCCCGCCCTTTCGACCGGCCTCGGGGTGCGACAGGGAGGATTGTTTACAAGGAAAGGGGAATGGATGAGGAGGAGGAGGACCAGGAGGAGGAGGAAGAGAAGGAGAAGGATGACGAAGAGAAGGACGAGAAGGAAGAGAAGGAGGAGAAGTACGAGGAGGTTGAGCAGGAGAAAGAGCGAGAGGAGGAGGGGGAGGAACACGAGGAGGAGGACGGGGAAGGAGGAGGGAGGAAGCAGGGGGAGGAGGAGGAGGAGAAGGAGGAGGAGGAGGAGGAGGAGGCAGAAGGATGAGCAGCCGTGCGGCACAGACGAGAAGGCCACCTCGGGATTCTCGTTCGAGGACACCACCCACTCGAGCGACATCCTCCGGGCGGAGGGGTGCGCGGCTAAACCCCTCTCCTCCATTTGGGGGGCAGAGGAGAGCCCCCCAACGAGACAGTCGAGGTTGATTGGAGAGGACACGCGAGAGGACACAAAACCTTTCCGAGGGACACATTGGCTTAGGAATGTAGAGGGCATGGGTCTCGGAGCACTGGACACGAGGGTAACATAAATTCTGCAGGGTCGACCTACTGATCAGCCTTGACCGTAGTTGGCCTTTTCTCGTCGGAGGTCAAGGGAGCCACGGGGCTGCAGGATCGAGCATCGTGGATCGAAGCCTCGGATCGTGTCTGGCAGTGCTTGGGCCTCTGAAGGCCTCCAGAGACCGCAGGAGGCATCCACATCTGGAGACCTCTGGAGAGCGTGGCCGGGGCGAGCCAACGTACGTCAGCGCGACAAATCAATCCCATCGCTGGAAAGCAGGGAAGAAATTGACAGCAGGAGGCGGGGCGATCCTCCCACGCCGCGATCCCAGCTCCTGAAGGCAAGAACCCCGCACCACCCCGAAGGAACGCACTGTAAACCAAAGCTTTCGTCAACACTCGCTGGCTGGCTCGGCATGAATCGAGCCTCGGCGAGCTATGCGCTGAAACAGAAAGACTCAGATTAGGAGCGAGGAGAAGGAGGAGAGGAACAGTACACTCTCTCATCCCAAGCCCCTTCATGAGTAAACATTGTAATCCGACGGCTGCGCCTCAAAATTCGAGGCCTGGGAAGGATAGACGGGTCAGAACCAAACGACCCTGCGACAGGTAGTGGCCCCGAAAGGGTGGAGTGGCAACATCCGAAACAGATTGCAACGAGAGTCAACTTTCATAGTAGTATCCGCCTGGCCTGCCAACAACCAGCGCGAGGGGCAAACGGCCTGACGTCCTCTCCATGTTGGGAGCGGCCCCCTGTTGGCAGTCCAGCGAGACTGCCTGGGCAGGCCTAGGTGGTAAAACGTAGTATGCGTAGGGCACATCTGTAGAAAAAAACGTTGACTCTCACTTCGCTGTGAGATCGGCCGCTCCATGTACGCAGATGAGAAGAGCTCTTCTGCGGGATTCCAGTGGCACCGAAGAGAGAGCGTGACTGCGAGACAAACAGCCCACAGCAATGCAACTGCTGCAGAACTTGACCCGTGGAAGCGCTGGCCGAATACGGCAGGTTCGCGTCGTGTCGACCCCGGCGTTGGTTTCTGACACCGCGGGGATCGTTCAACCTTGAACGATCGGCCGCTGCCGCAACGTCCGATCGTTCAACATCGATCGATTCTGGGTCGCCGGCGGCGTTCAACCTTGAACGCCCGCGCTGGGGTCGCCGCTGGTCGACACGACGCAAACCTACCGTAGTTGGGGGACTCACGCAGAATCCAGCATGTGCATCTCTTGGAACCCAGAAGACACGTGTCCACGTGCCGTGGCCCACCTGGCGCACTCGGCGCGCACCTGGCGCACGCGGCGAGCCCGGTGCAGAGTGGCACACTCGGCGCACGTGGCGTCCGTGGCGCACCTGGCGCAGTAGGCGCGCCTGGCACGCTTCGGATGAGCACGGCGCAGCTGGCAAGCGTGTGTCGCACCGGGCATCTGCAGTGCTTCCCAGTGACTGTCCATCGGGTGGCGGCCGCGGCTTCTGCCGAGTCTCGCGAGTCTGTCTCTTGGCAGAGGGCGGGCAGGAGCAGGCGAGACGGCTCGTGGCGCTTACATTGGTGACTGAATCACTGTGCCCTATGAAACACCCCCTCCCCCAGGCGACCGGCAGCCAACCAAGACCAATGCGCCCACCATCCATGTCAGAAAACGATGTGAAGTCCGCTTTGATGCAAAATCTTGGGTCATGGTCGGGGGGGCCATGAGCACTTTGTGTTGAGTTTTTGGCAGGGACGCCGGGGGTGCTCGCATTTTGCCTGCTGCGCGCAGGGCCAGCATCCCTCTCAAAAGACAGAACAGAATACACTGCGAAGCAAAATCTGGATCATGCGCGGGCACCCCGCGATCACTGCACATTGGTTTTTGACTGGGACGGCGGGGGTGCTGGCATATTGCCTGCTATGTGCAGCCCTGCAGGACGCTATGGTGACCACCAGGCCGCAATTGCGCACTGGTTTTCGACAAGGGTGGTGGGGACCGGCACGTTTCCCGATGTGTACTGCCACGTGCGCAGGCGCACATGGCACACTCTGCGCGTGCCCCGAACGTGGCGCACCTGGCGCGGCTGGAGCATGCGGCACACATGGCGCTCGTGGATCACGTGGCGCTCGCCTGGCGCACCTCGCCCCAACGTTGCGCACAGAGGGTCTGTTTTGGTTCCCATAGCTAGCCATCCAACGACTACCGCTGGACACGCTGCGGCTCGGGCGCTACTTATGTGTTGGAGGGCGGGTGGGAGTGAGCGAGACGACGGCTTGCGGGCGGGGAGGGTGTCTTGACCCCTCCCCCTCCCCCCTCCCCTGGGTCTGGACGGGTGGCACCCAAGGCGTCAGAGCGTTCAAGGTTGCCGAAGACGTTTTGAAGATGGCCCCAGATAGTTCGAACCAAAATTAACTCCAGGATGCGCACGATGCACCAACGTGATTGAATATGGCATCCACAATGCCTGCAAGAAGTTCCAAGACGGTCCAAAGATGGAGAAAAGTGGCCATATAGCCTTGCAATGATGCTCCCAGGATGCCAAGACAATTGAAACATGCGATGCTTGCCTGCCTTCTCAGTGTATCACCTTCGACAATATTATCAGGCCTTACGAAGGTCTCCAAGATGGCCGAGAAAACCCCAAGGGAGGCCCAGACTGGCTCCAAGATATCACCGCAGGCTTCCAAATGCGCACACAAATCATCCCAAGAGTCTCCAGGGAAGATTAACATGCCTCCGACGTTGGGGCCTTAAATAGGTGCACCCCCTTTGCTGATCGGTAGTATCCCTGATCGGCTTTCGAGGGCCTCATAAGTGCCCAAAGAGACACCCAAGACAGCCCGTCGCACATCAAAAAGCCCCAAGCTGGCCCTCAGATGACCCCGAGAACCGAAGACCGTTCAAATCGAGCCCTGATGGTCTTTCCGACTGTGCTCTGTCAAAACTTGGGACTCGACGAAGCAGGCTTTCCCGAAGCTCCTACGGTCGGCCCGCCGATTCACAAAAGACGATGCGAAAAAGAAACAGGAGGGCACACCGGACTCACTTCTACAGCGTTCATTTCTATAGTGCTCACTTTGAATTTGTGGTCCGGAAGGGGCCGCACATGCGGGCACATGCCGCACAGTCGCATGCACATGCCCATGCAAATATACAAAAGCCTCAGCAGCATTGCCGCACATGCGCGCACATGCCACACCGTCCGACGCACAGTCGAATGCACGGTCAAGTAAAACTCTGAAAGCATAGACCCACATGCCCGCACATGCTGCAGAGATGTCGCCGGCCATAGTGGCCTGACCACCTGAGCTCGGGGCATTTCGCAACCCAGAGTTGCGAGGATGTCTCAGGCAAGCGTGGCCGGACCACCATGGGGGAAACCAGAGTGGCAAGGATGTCGCTGGTCAAGGTGGCCAGACCACCATGGGGCAGGACACCTCCGAGGTCTGAGTTGTGAGGATGTCTCAGGCGAAATTGGCCTGACCACCATGGTGCAAGAGATCTCTGAGGTCAGAGTTGCGAGGATGTCTCTGGCGAGAGTGGTCTGATCACCTCAGCCCAGGGCGTCTCGGAACCCAGAGTTGCGAGGATGTCTCAGGCAGGAGTGGCCTGACCACCTGCTCAGGGCATCTCGGAACCCAGAGTTGCGAGGGTCTCAGGCGAAAAAGGCCGAGACACTATGGAGCAGGGCATCATTGAGGTCAGAGTTGCGAGGATGTCTCAGGCGAGTGGCCTGAACACCTCAACTCAGGGCATCTCGGGCGAAAATGTCTTGCGCGCGGACGCGAACGCGCCGGCGCCCGGAGACGAACGCCGGCCCCGGCATTCTTGAACGTCCCGCACATGCCCGGCACAGGTACACGCAGTATTTGCACAGGCCGAGCTCGCCAGTGGCCGAGCCAGGCCAGCGATTCCGAGATTCCCTGAGCTCGGGCCGTCAAACCACTTTCGCCTGAGACATCCTCGCAACTCTCACCTCCTCCTCCTCCTCCTCCTCCTCCTCCTCCTCCTCCTCCTCCTCCTTCTCCTCTGGCCGAGCCGAACAGGCGGGCGGGCCGGCCGAGCCGGGGGCGTCCGCCTCCTACGCCCCCCCCCTCCTTCCCCCCCCCTCCACCTCCCCCCCCCCACCCCTGCTTCTCCGGCCGAGCTGAAAAGACGCGCGGGACTGTTTTACTAGGAGGGCACGCCACCGCCAGCTCACGAACCGGGCGAAGAACCGCCCCCGCCAGCAGCGGGCGAGTCTAAACGCACAACGAACTCTTTCAGGAAGCCCTGGCACGCCCCAGGTTAGCTCTGCGAAGGCCAGGAGGCATTGGAGGCACAGGGGTCTCAGACAGCTCCTAGGGCATGAGCGTGCATGTGCATTGGGATGTGCACGCATGTGCGCCCGCGCGCTTCACCGCATGTGCGTGCATGTGCGGGCCCGCGCGGCCTCCCGAAGAGAGGTTGCACAGGCATGTGCGCGCATGTGCCGATGACAGATCTGCGATTCTCGAACACCTCCCGCATGTGCAGGCATGTGCGCGCATGTGCGTCGGACTGTGCGTGCATGTGCGTATGATGGATACACCAAAACACAGCGCACATGCCCCCGCACATGCCCGGGCACGACGTGCACAGAAGGAAGTCCATCCAAGAAGGGCCGCACAGGCCTGGCACATGACTGGCACATGCCGCGCACATGCGCGCGCATGACAGCGCAAAAACGGCCGCACATACACCCACCCAGGGGTATAGATGTGAGTGCGAGGCAATGGAATTTGCCTTTGTCAACGCTTCTGTGTTGACTCTGTTGTTTGCCTCTGTTCGTTCCTACGCTTCCATTATCAAGGGAATTCGACCAGGGATCGATTCTGGATGGGACTCCACGTCCTCCTCCTCCTCCTCCTCTCCTCCTCCTCCTCTCCTCCTCTTCCTCCTCCTCCCAACTCCATCCCCTCTCTCATCTCCCTCCCCCTCCTCCTCTTCATACACCTCCTCGCATTGCTCTCCCCATCCATCGCCCCACTCTTTCATTCAACGCCGTCATGATTACTCCCCTCCCCACCTCGTCGTTCATCATTATCCTCACCTTCCTGCTCCTGTTCCTCCCCCACCCCCACCTCCATCGCCATCACTTTCATTCTCCAACACACTCCTCACACTCCTCTTCCGCTTGCCGTCGCCCTCCAGTCCACTGCGCAACCCCTTGCTCTGGAGCCCGGCCGCGCGCCCGGTCCTGAGCCAGCCGATGACGGGCCGCGCGCCGCCGATGTCACCCGCGGTGCGCTTGGTGAACTCGCCGACCTCCCCCCAAATAGTGAAGTCGTGGGCCTCGTCGCCCCCTGGGGAATGCGTGACGAAGGGACGCAGCGTGGTGATGTACACCTCGGGCGCGGCGCGGATTAACGCACCCCCCCAGCGAGAGATCCTGAGGCATATGTACTCCCCAACCCCCCCAACGAACAAAAACGGCATCGTCGCCGCCACACCGGGCAGTTGCCGCCGGCCAGGCAATATGTGTATCGGGGGGGCGTCATGCCTCGGGTCATTTCTTGTTTTGCCCCAGCGTCTCTCCGATCCCCCTCTCGTGCACCATCAACACCTCGAAACATCCCATTTGCGTTTGATGCCTAAATATGTGTATATACAAATGAGTATACATACGTATGACATGATTATAAGTGTACATATAGATTGGGTAACCAGCGTGAACCAAAACAATTCGTCTCTAACAATCCATAGTGTACAACTTATGTGAATCAAAACCTGTGGTGCGACCTATGGCGCAATTGATTTTGACAAACGAGTTGGTTTGCAAAACCCACGCGGTGGCGATTGCGATGCGTGTTTGGCGTTAGCTGGTCCATCTCTGTGGCCGCGCCAACCCACGCGCGCGCAGCGGCCAGCTAAATTGGCGCGGCCGACGCGAACGCGGTGGCGCTGACCGCTCGGCATTTCCCAACGGGCACTTGACTGTTAGTCGGCGAGTTGGGCGGGCGCATTACCAAGGCAACGTCGACAACGGAAGACACGATGCTGGTGACGATGTTGACAACGACGACGGCGCGGCCAGTGCGGGCGCCGATGCTGATCACACCGTCGCCGATGACGGCGTCCCCGCGTCGGTGATGACGCTTGCGGAAAGAATTCGACATGTGCGCGCGGCCGACGCGCGAAAGTGGATGGCTTTATTTGACACGGGCCGTGAACCCCCAGCACGCGCGCAAAGGCGTGCGAATGATGTTGGCATCCGGCGCCAGAGGCCCGTTTTGCAAAATTCCATGAAACTGTTTGTTGTTACCCAACAAACGTTTCCCCTGACTACGCAAGAGCGCAAGCGCACGCGTCTTTGAACACTGATGTTGCGAAACCATGTGTTGTTGTATGTGTTTTAGACACTCGGTTTTGAAATCGCTACGGAACATAAGGTTTGTGACGGATTTCGGCATGCGCGCGCGACGACGCACGCGCGCACTGCGTCCCACTTTTTGCAAAAATATACTTTTTACTGACAGAGACTGACCGCAAGCGAACCAGCCTTCGTTTGAAAAACAGCTAGCCAGCGCAGGGGACGCATTCGACCCGACCCCATGCACCTTGGGATGGGTCGCCGTCGTCCTCCTCTACGCTGGCAATGGGAAAGCCAGAGAGGCCGTCCCACAAGGCCAGATCGGCCTGGAAAGCGGGCGGCGGAGAGCACTCCTGCCCCGTCCACCCCACCCCCACCCCCCCACTCCCAGTCCCGACAGGAGGAGAAAGAGCAGGCAGAGGCGGCAGTTCGGCCGACTCCAGCAGCCTTCGCTTCCGCAGCAAAATCGGAGGGCCCACAAAATCGCGGGCCCGTAAAGGATGGCAGCCTCGCATGAGGTTGCGCAGCCTGTAGTATCTCGAGTCTCTCACCAGGACACCCTGCCTACGATTCATCGGTAAGCAATCCTGCGAAAGACCCTGGCTCTTCTTTTCCGAAAATGCCCCGCACAGAGAGCAGAACAGGAAAGGCCCCGCGCGGTGAAGTGCGTGGGAGCTGGACCTGTCGTCACATCGAAGCTGGCGAAGCACCGAGCGTGTCCTCGCTGACCGAAGGCACACCATGCATCGGAACCTGTGCGCAACCACCGTCACTGCAGGGTCGAAACGCGAGTGCGGCTTCGGGGGACCAAGTCCCCCCTCAATCGTGCCTATGGCACGGCCGAGTATTTGCGCTTGGGCGTCACGTGGCGTGATGGTGCCGATCCGAGCGACCAGCCTGGTACAGAACTGGGCTACAAGGCGGATGGCGCTGCGCGACGCGCCATGCGCAGATCGCAGCTGGAGGGAATCACTATGCATGGCGGCACCCCATTTAGCCGACTGATCAGCCTGGGCATTGCCGACACGCTGCCATTCTGAAATCCGTCCCTCTGCTACGGCAGAGGCAGGAGTATGCGCTTTGACGTGAGAAACCTCCACCGACTCACCCCCACGGTCAGACACAAGCCTCCAAACCTCCCTCCAAAGTAAGGCAAGCGGGTCACTCGCAGCGGTGCCCGCTCCAACGCCTTGGCGCCAGACATCCACGAGCGGCTTGCAATCCGTATAAAACTTCATCTGAGCTCCCATATACCTCAGCGCCATCAAGAAACTGAAAAGCTCAGCCGCTGGCACAGATTGAATGAGACAGGGCAGAGGGCCATGCAGGCGAGCAACCACTCGCTTGCTGTCGTCAAGCGAACAGAGTCCCCATCCGCAGCGCCGTAAGCGAGAGAAACTTCCGTGCCTCCCCGACCCATCACCGAACACGTGCACGTCGAGCAGCAAGTCGGGAGACCGCACCGTCCACACGACTCGCTCCTCGAGGCAGGGGCTCGGGAAGAGCCAAGCAGGGTCAGGAACAAGAAAGCGCGTGAAAAGCAAGGTATCCACCGCAGCAGCTCGGGCCATGTCTAGCATTTGACCAGCCATGGCACTGCCAGCTCTGTAATCCCGACGGAACTCGGTATGCAGGGGGCAATCGTAGAATCGGTGCCAGGTAGATCCAGCACTCTGACAGGCAAGGCAGCTCGGGTTGACGGCTCCACCTGACTCGTACAGTCGCTCCTGCGACCAGAAACCTCCAGCAAACAGGCACCGCAGCAGTCCCTGATGCCTTGGGGTCCAGTCAGGGCCTCGGACAGAATGAGGCTGGAGGAGGGACCTCAGGGGCTCCACGAGAGGAGGATGAGGGCAGGGCGAGACCCACGAGGGATGCTTCGCGAGAACCTGGCGCCACACCCACCGCTCGGTGGCCTCATCAACTAACTTACCTCCATCCTTCGGGGAAATCTGTTCAATTGCAAGAGGACCTCGGTGGGTCTTCCAATGAAAAGGGTCAGATACAGACCAACCCAACCGCAAAATTGTCGCAACTAGCGCAGAAGCAGGTCCGCGAATGTCAGACCAAACTTGAGACACAGGAACTCTAGACAGGCGTGTCCATGCTCCACTCAGAAGTCGCGCCATATCTGCTCTGGGGGCCCATCCGTCCCACAGCGCCTGCAGCCAGAGGAAGATCGGGCTCCTGTTGCACTCGAAGGCGGGGTCGACCTGCGGCCCAGCCAGCATGAGGTCCAATGAGAGCGACCTGCCCGTGTGCCTGTAGACCATGCCCGCGCGCGCCAGTTGCCTGGCGCTCAGTAGGTGCGTGTTGCTGATGCCGTGAACTCCCACTGCCCAGAGCATCCCAGGCTTGAGGCCAGTCTGCACCAGCTTGATCGTCTTGCCCCCAGCTTTCGCGAGCCGCTTATACCGAGGGATCCGAGACGCCATCCTGCCCAGCCGCTGTGCACGAACCGAATGAGAAAGCCGATTTCCACCGCCAAAGTCCAGCCCCAGGTTCCGAACCGAGCGTGTGAGGAACCTCGACGAGGACGGGTTGACTTTCCTAAACACCTTCCGTATGCCTTGGCCGATGACCACCTGGTGCTTCTTGGGCAGGGAGAGAGTCAAGCCGATCTGCGTAAGCTCAGCCGCCAATAGGTCCTCGGCCCCCTTGAGTTCCCTGGCGACTTCCCATGCCTCGCCAATACGTTGCAACTGCAGATCATCTACCACGACCGCCACCTCGACATTCACGAAGCGAAGAGAGACGGCATCCACTGGCGACAAGAGCACCAGACGCAGTAGGGAAGTCGCGCAGCTGCAGCCCGCGACAATCGTAACGGCGCGCGTGCAAGGGCGTTCGAACGATTCAGGCATGCGCGCGAGAAGCCTGTTTGGTTGCATGTTTTGGGAAACGTGATAACACATCGTTTCCTTACGAATTAGCAAAAGTGCACGCGCAAGATGCGACACCATGTTTTTTATCTGTTTGTTGCACTCGATTTCGCAATCCCTACGAAACCTAAGGTTGTTGAAGGATTTCGGCGTGCGCGCGCGACGACGCGCGCGCGTGCACTTCGTCTCATTTGTTGCCAGGGATTTCTGAGGACGAATGGCGCATGATAAACGAGTGGGCGCGCATGCAATGCTTCTGCAGAGGATGACGGGGAGGTCGGTACCAGTTGGGATGGGATGGCACGACTTGATACTCAGGATGGCCGATGGGGCAGAGCCACACGCAAATTGCAATGCGAAAAAGGGGGCGATAATCCCTGGGGGAGGAATTCGAATTTCTGTTCGAAAGGAGAAACATTTCTGTTCGCAGCGAGTTGTTAACGTCACTGTTCGCGCAATCGCCCCACCCACCCGCGCGCAACTGAATTTGCAGAACACGCGCGGTGGCGATTGCGATGGGTGCTCGACGTTGGCTGGTGCATCTCTGCGGCCGCGCCGACCCAAGCACGCGGGCGCGACCGACGCGATCGCAGTGGCGCTGTCCGCTCTGCACTAGCGGGCACTTCAGTGCGAGTCGGCGACTTGGGCGGGCACGGTATCACGGCAAGGTCGACGTCGGTCGATGCGACGATGATAGTAGCGATGCTGGTGGCGATGGCGGCAGAGACGACGGCGCGGCCAGTGCGCACGCTCGGCTTGCCAAGAAACGCAAGGTCAGCGTTGAAGGCGGTGAAGAGGCTGACGCGCCAGAGGGGGGAGCTGCCACTGATGCGACCGCCGGTGGAGGCGAGGAGGCCGGGGGGCAGGCAGAGGGCCAGCCTTCTGAGCCTGCCGGGGAAGACCACGGTGAACCCGGTGAGGGTGGCTCCCCAGCGTCACCAGGCCCCTCAGTGCGATCGCGAGCTGCCAAGATCATGCATCAACAAATGGAGCCCCCTGCACGAGCGACTGGCTAGTCCTGCTCAAGCTGAACTGCAGGGCGTAGCCATCACCTCCAGGATCCAGCTGCCATTGCCTCTTCGCGCTGTCCGACGGCGGAGCGTTCTGCGCGGCCCAGGCCAGTGCGCGCCTCCGAGATGGGCGAGCTGTTTCTAGACTATGCATCTCGCCAGCCTTGTTTACCTTTCTTACATGCTTTTTCTAGAATATGCATCTCTTTCTAGACTATGCACAAGGGCTCCTAAGTTCGCGCTTCGCGCTGCGCGAAGCGCGAAGCGCGAATAACTTCGCGCTCTCGCGCCGCCCCCCAAGGGGGAGAAGAGGAGGACGAGGAGGAGGGGGAGGAGAAACGAGGACCGCGAAGCGCGAAGCGCGAATAACTTCGCGCCCTCGGGGGAGCCCTTGAGAATATGCATCTCTTTCTAGACTATGCATCTCGCCAGCCTTGTTTACCTTTTTTGTCCATCGTTTTTTTTTTCAGAGTTTGTCGAAGTGCCCGCGGGCCCACCGAGCGCGCCGCGGGCCCGCGGGCCTGCTGCCGCGGCGCGTCGCCGGCGCGAAGGGCGGGCGGCGAGCCGCTGCTGTCGGGTCGGGCGAAAGGGGGGGATAGCAAAGGGGGGGTTTGAGAATCAGCTCACGTAGCTGATTTTCCCGGCGCCTCCCGGCGCTGGAGGCGCCCATGTATCGAGGAATGGGCCCATCGGTGAGGCCGAAACCAGCTGCATGCAGCAGATTTCGTAACCCCCCCTTTCCCAAACCCCCCCTTTCGCCCGACCCGATGCTGGAGGGGCGGCGCGGGCGGGGCCTCGACAGCCCAGAGGGGCGGCACTCTGGCCAGGGGAGGCAGGGGGGCAGCTCGCCGAACGCCCCGACGCCCCCCCCCCCCCGAAGCAGGCACAGCCACGCGACCGCTCCATCGGCGTCTGCCCTCGCGCGCTGGAGCACGCCAGCGAGACTCCTCGGATCAGGCCTCTCGGCCGCCCCGCTGGGCCCCGCCGCGGGTTTGTCACCGCCCGCTCCTCCAGCGTTGCAATGCCTCGCCGCGCGGTGCGGTGGGCGCTCGCCTGGAGGGCGAGTCGACTGATTGCCTCTGGAGCCGCTGGCGTTCAGAAACTCTCGTTCAGTGATCCTTCTGCGCCGGCCAGGTTTGGAGGTTTTGCGTCTCCGAATCAGATGCGCCCGGTCTGTGTCAGCATAGAGCCTTGCTTCCCCGTCGAGTGCAGTTCTGGCCCCAGGGGCCCTGCCTTGAGCAACGTCGGTCCCCCGACCCACTCGGATCCCACTGCTGTGCATTCGGATTCGCTCGAGCTTTTTCACGCGACCAACGGCAAAGATTGGTCGACCATGGAGCAGCTGTTGGCCGACGCCCCTGCGCGCGTCATTCTGCGCCAGGAACATAGGCTCGGTTCGAAAGAAGACGTCGACCAGGCTTCGGCCTGGGCTGCCTGGAGGGATTGGAGGAGCCTTTGGACCAAAGCTTTGGGCGCGGAGGCTGGCTCCACCTCTTCGGGCACGTGCATCTTGGTCAGGGATTACAAAGGCCTGTATGAGCCCCCTGGAGGGTCGAAGGTTGATCTTCCCTTCTGCATTGGTGCCGATTTTCACGCGTCGCCTCAAGTTCTCGGTCAGCGCTCGTTCGCCGAGAAGCTTGATGGGCGCGCTCATTTCGGAGGAGGACCCCCAGCGCGTTGGACCAGTTCGTGTTTTTTAAGGGGAGGGGGGGCTGGGGAGAGCTGTGGAATCGCGCGAAGTGCCGCGCGACGCTATCCTGAGCACTCACAGGCCTGTCCACGTGATCTTGCATCCTTCTCTCGCTCGGCTCCATGGTTCGTGTTTTCGGAGGCTCCCCCCCGCGCCCGTGTCCGCGGTGTTCGGCCCTGCCCCCGGGCCCCCTGATTGGTCTGGCCCTCGCGCTCTGGCTGAGCAGGCCACGCAGTGTGTGAGTGGAGGCGACGCTGTGCGAACTGCTGCCCCCCTCGGCCCTTGCTATGCTGCTTGGGCTGACAAGGCCGAGGTGGAGCTTGCGCCGCCGCTTGGACCTGACCCCCCGTCTTAGGCACGCTTTCCAAGGGGCCCCAACTTGCGTGGAAGAAGCTCTTGGGCACGGACTTCCATATTCATTGTCCGGACATTCGCGCGGCGCATTTGCTTAGTCCCTAAATCCGCGCCTTAGCTGCTTGCGCGCCGCGAACATTAGCCGGGGAGATCGGGCTCAGAAGTTAGTTTCTCTGCTGTGTACGCCACTCGCAGATGTCAAGGTGTCGGAAGGGCGTTGCCCACTTTTAGAAGACGCTGCTGGCACTGCTCGCGCAGATTGTGTACTCCATGGCTCGCTGGGGCAGGCACTGCGCGACAAGTTGGATGCAGCTGTGGATCTCGCCAGCAAGGCGGCGAGCAATGAATTCCACATCTGTCGGCAGGCTTGGATTCGCGCCGGGATTGATGAGGGGGCCGAGAGGGTGCATTTAGCCATTGGAGACCCTACCCCCTGGCGCCCTATCACCACTTTAGCCGACGACGGATCGATCGCGTCGGACCCCTTGTCGCTTCTGGCCGCTGAAGGTTTCAAATGCCCTTCATTTTGGGGCGAAGGCCGCGGGGCTCTCTGTTCCTCGGGGCCGACGTTGCCGGACCCCTTGCCCCGCTTGTCCGAGGAAGCCATCAGGAAGGTGTCCAAGAAATACAAAAAAGACCCGGCGGTCAGCTTTGAGGATTCAACTGTCGCCACTTTTCAGTGTTCGTGTGATCCTGCGCCTCGGACACCGTAGTCATGGTTTCCGAGATCATGGAAGCACTCGGTCAGTTGCCCGAGCAGATCTCGGCTTTTCTTTTAGCGTAAGGATCAATCGGAAATCTAAAGAATCACTAAGAAATCAGAGGAATCCATCGGAACCCATAGGAACCCCAAGGAATCCATAGGAAGGCCGAATAATCCTTAGTGATACCGCGGGATCAATATCAATCCTAAACAATCCCTGGGAATCCCTAGGAATCCCCAGGCATACGCGATCCCTAGGAATCCATAAAATCACTAGGAATCCCTCGGAATCCATAAGAACCCATAAGGATTCCAATGAATCGGAGTCCAAATTAATCCATACGAATCCTCAAGAATCCTTCGAAATCTCGCAGGATCCCTTGGGAATCCATGGGAACCCGTCAGGAATCACTTAGGAATCTTAAGGAATCCTCAAGTATCCTAGGAATCCTCAGAGAACCGAACAACCAGCAACCTTCGCAAACCCCCAGGGGGGTGTTCGGCCCCCCTAGGTGGGGAAGCGAAGCTCCTCAGAAACCCCAGCACCCCAGCACAACCAGCAGCCCCAGCAACCCCAGCACCCCACCAGGGGCGCCTTCGATCGAATTGTTATAGGGATCCATCAGAATACATGGAAAACCAGGAATCGCACAGGAATATTTAGGAATCTTGCGGAATCCCATCGAAATCTTTAGGAATCCGCAGGAATACCTAGGAATCCTTGGGACCCCTACGAATCCTAAGGAATCCATAGAAATCCCTCGGAATCCCCAAGAAACCATAGGAATGTGGAGGAATATGTAGGATTCCATAGGAATCCCTAGGAATCCTCAAGAAACCCTAGGAATCCTTAGGAATCCTTCGGAACCCATCGGAATCCATAGACATCCAACGGAATCCTAGGAAATCTTTAGGAATCCATCAGAATCCATATGACTCCGTAGGAATCCCCAGGGATCCCTCAAGAACCCCTGGGAACCACAAAGAATCCCTAGGAATCCATTGGAATCCGAATGAATCCCACGGAATCCCTAGGAATCCTTAGGAATCCATCAGGAATCCTTAGGAATCCCAAGGAATTCCTAGGAATTCTTAGGAAGCCCTGGGAATCCCTCAAAAATCCTTCAGGAATCCGCAGGGATCCTCAGGAATCCTCCAGAACCCTAACAACCAGCAGCCCCAGCAACCCCCAAGGGGGGCCGAAGGCCTCCTTGGGGGTTTAGCTGGGGATCGATAATGTAAGTCCCATCGACCCCGAGGGGGCGGTCATGGACAAGACCACGCCACAAGGAGCAGAGGGAGAGTCGAAGACGGCAGACTCCTGAGAGCAGCGGCAAAAGCTGACGAAGACGCCGACCAGGAAAGGGCGCAGGCCGCCTCTCCGAGCAGCACCTCGTGCTCGTGCTGCGCGGCCCTGGAGAATACCTTGAAGTGAAGCACGCTCCGGGAGATCCGCTGGACCCCCCCATGAGGGGCACCGGTGGGTGGGGGGACCGGCAAAGGGGGGGAGACGTCGACCTGGAATCGGCGATACATCGCCGATAGATCGGCGATAGGCCCCCGATGGTGAATCCGCATGCTCCTGGGCGACCAACTGGCGATTGGGGATGGATGCATCCGCCACTGTGGCTGCCCCTGACCCCCCCCACGAGGGTGCCGGGGGTCGGCGCCGCGGCGCTGGCGCACCCTGCTGGGGCCCACTGCTCCGCCCACGAGCCGCGAGACGTCCACATCCACAGCTGCCGGAGTCCTGCGCTGGATGCAGACTTGCTGCGCTCAGAGAAGGCCAGGCATAGCCTCCTCCTCATCTTCCTCCTCCTCCTCTTCCTCCGAACCTCCGGAGGATAGATCTTCCGCAGTCCGTGGGCCCAGTGATCTCTTGACCCATCGCCCAGGGCAAATTGGTCATCCAAGATCGGATTTCTGACTGCCGCGCAGAGCGGAGGCGGCCACAACTCCGCCTCAACTCTGGGCCTCCCTCCCTCCCGTCCTTCTCTCCGTCCGAGAACCTCCGGTGACGCCGCCGTCGCCCTGGGTGGGGTGGTGGGGCGGTGCGCCGAAGGCATGCCTGACGTCCTCCGGCCTCGGGGGGCTGTCGAAGAAGACCCCAGCGCGCTCCACCTTGCCGCTGTCGAACCGGTCGATGACGAGGGCGGCGCTGGGCCTTCGCCAAGGACCGAGGATCGAGGAGGATCGGTGAGGGCCGAGGATCGGTGATCAACCACCAGGGGATGTGTCGACCCCTATCCCAGGCTTCGTGGGTTTTCGAATGGGCCCAACAAACATTGGGGCCCAACCCTGGGATATGATGGGGGGGCGTCCATGCTCGATAGGGGGTGCGTCCGAATAGCCCCCCTGGGGTGCATACCAGGGCTTCCATCATTTTCTGAGAGGCTTCATTTTTCGCCGAAAAGCCGGGGTTCGGGGAGAAAAATCGCCTGCGATCAACGCTGTCGGACGTGCTCGGTCCTGTCAGGCTTCGCGAAGCCTCCAGAAACCCTTGGGGCTCCTGGAATCCAGAGCCCCCGAGAACTCCGGAGGATTCCAGAGGACGCTGGAGGAAGCAGTAACAACAGAAACATCATATTCTGGAGCTCCGCGCTGGACCCCCCATCCCTGGCGCGCGGTGTGCGCTGGGGGCGGCGCCCGAGGCGCCGCCAGGGGGGGCCCAGCGCAAATCCAAGAAATCCGCGCGGAGCTCCAACAATTTATGCTTATGCCGGTGTGTCTGTGTCTGTGTCTGTGTCTGTGTCTGTGTCTGTGTCTGTGTCTGTGTCTGTGTCTGTGTCTGCGTCTGCGTCTGCGTCTGCGTCTGTGTCTGTGTCTGTGTCTGTGTCTGTGTCTGTGTTTCTCCGGACGTTGGGACCTCTCCGCTTCGGCGAAGGGCCATGGTGCGCCGCGCGTCGACGGCGCGACGTCCCCGTGACGAGTCCAGGGCCCCCTGCAGATGTGACTCGGGCCAGTTGCGGCTCCCAGCGAGCAACGCTCGCTTGCCGCCTTCCGCCCCCTTCGGGCCAGGCCGCGGCAAAGGCAGCCCTCGCTTCCGAGACCGACGGCCTCCACGTCGGAAAGCGCATCTATAGATCCGCGAAAGCTCCGAACTATCCCCGCCCCCCTGGCCTCGCCTCAGCAGGCTCCCGCGGGACCAGGCGCTAGCGAAATCAGCCAGGCCTGCCGAAACGGGACCCCCCTCCAGCTTCGGAAGGCATGCCCACCCACCCTCGCCAGGAATCCGATTGATCGACCTGTTCAATCCGCGGAACCCAGAGGTTCGACCTCTCGCCTCTGTGCCTTCGCCACAAGCAATGCTTCGTCAGTGCTTCGTCACGGCTCCATATGTCTGATGGCCCCGGACCTGGAAGTGGCCCCCACAAACCGAGACGGCGGGAAAAATACAAAAGCGAACCATTCTCATGGCGGAGGACACACACGCATGCAGCTGTGAGCACCGCGGTTGTGAGTATCGTCTTCGGTGGAACTCCCTGCGGGGCCACGAAACGTGTGAGGGCTGTGCGGGAACAGGCTTGACGTAAACATGCGAACGTCGCCACTAGGGCCTCAGGTGGAGCTTCCAACGGGGCCACGAAACGGGTGAGGGGCGTCCCGAAACAGGTATGACGCCACCATGTGGACGGTGCCACTGGGGCCGTAGGTGGACCTCACGTTGGGGCCACGAAACGTGTGAGGATGTGCCGAAACGTGTGGGACGCCACCATGTGGACGTAGCCTCGGGGGCCTTGGGTGGAGCTCCCCATGGGACCACAAAACGTGCGAGAGGTGTGCCGAAAGGGGTGCGACGCCCAAACGGGTGTGACGCCACCGTGTGGACGGTGCCGCTGAGGCCGTGGGTGGGCTTCCCGTTGGGGCCACGGGACGTATGATGGGTGTGCCGAAGCGGGCGGGACGCCACCAAGTGGATGGCGCCTCGGGGGCCTCGGAGGGGTGCCGAAATTGGCATGCGGAGAGCAGCGGCAGGGGGGAGGCGGGGAGGGCGGGATGAGAGCCGCGGGGCGCTGTTTCTTCAAAACGAGAATCCAACACTACAGTATGGTTGGGAATAAACAGCAATCCGCCCGAAGTGTGAGCCCCTTCTCTCGGTGTCGTCCTTAATGGAGGCGTCGAGTAAAAGGGGCTGCAGCGAATCGCCCGAGCCAAATTAGCGGCCCACTGGGGCTAACGGACGCATCGAAATAGGACCAGGGCGCAAAAAATCAGCTAAATTCCCCGCCGCGAGATGCACACCCCCCACACACGCACGCACGCACGCACGCACGCACGCACGCACGCACGCACACACACACACACACACACACAGGCACACGCACGCATGCACGCACGCACGCACGCACGCACGCACGCACGCACGCACACACACACACACACACATCACACACACACACACACACACATCACACACACACTTTTCGGTGGTCGCGGCGGGCGGGAGCATTTCCTCGCCGTGCAGTCCGCGCGCGGGGAACCTCGCGAGAGCCAAGTCGCCGAGGAGAGAAGAAGCAGAAACAACAAACAGAAAAAGTCGGCCGGCCCTCCCACGGGGCAGTGGCCAGAAGCGGCGCAGGAGCGCTGGGGCGGCGGGCAGCGGGCAGGCGCCGGGGCGGCGTCGGCGGGGCGGGGCGGCAGCGCGGGCGCCAGGCGGCGCGGGGCGGGGCGGAGCAGGGTAGGAACAGCGGCGGACCGCTGGTCAGCAGCAGCTCAACGGCAGCGGGGAAGGTGGAGATCCGCCGAGCTGGCGGCAGACCACAGAACCAAGCCGCACCAAAGGTAGGCGTGAGAGGTGGCGGCCGGGGGGCCAGGCAGCAGACGGCCACGCCGAAGAGGCGGGCACGCGGCACCCGCAGGCAGCGGCACCGGAAGGAGGGGGGGACGGCAGCGCCAGACCCAAGCGGGAGGGCGAGGCGAGGGCGGGCAAAAGGCCAGAGGAAAAAGGGCGTCATCAGGGCAATCGCCGCTGAGTTGGGGGTAGCGCGGTGACACCGCGAACCTGGCAAGATTCGAACAGTCACCAAACGAAAATTGCCAGACGCGCGTTGGTCTTCAGACTCTAGTGCCGAAGCACGGACAGTCATGGAGGGAAGAGGTGGGGTGTGCACGGGTAGATTGTGTGAAATGACACTTACCGTTCTGACCGTGGATCGCCTGAAGCATGTAAAACAGTGGACGGGATTGGATCAAGTATGACATCCAGCGATGTCTCCTCTTGCCGATCCTGTCTTCCTCGTCCTTTCCCTCTACTCGTCCCCCCCTCCCTCTCCCCCCTCCTCCCTCCTCCTTGGTCAGGCACGCCGCAGTTCTGCGAGCCTTGCGTGGGACGAGGGCGACAGGGATCGAGTGGGTCGAGTTCGGCGCCATTGGGTCGACTTCGGCACTTTATTCCCCTGAGTTGGCACCTGTGGCGTCCCGCTGGTGCCGGGGGTGGTGGGCCGACAAGGATATGTTTGCCAGCCCCAGCTGGCGATCACCCTGATGTTCGCCACGCCTGTAAGAAATGGCGCTGGCGCAAAATCGTGTGCCTTCTTTGGCACCGCACAGGGGGGGCTGGCAAACATATTTTGCCAACCTCCCCTGCGGCACCATGCGGGGACAGAAACGATGGCGACGTCCAGATGTCGTTCCTTGTTGGTTGCCGGGGGGTCGGCAGGGAGCAGATCTGGGCATCTGGAAGTACGTGCGAGGGGCATGTCCACGGATGAAACGAGGACGAAGAGAAAACGGGGCCATGATCAGCCGACGCCCGACTCCAGAGAAAAGCGTGGGACAAAAAAAACTCCCCCTCCTCCTGCCCCTCCCCCTATCCTCATCCCACCTCATTATCCCTCATCATGCTCGGTCCTGCCGCTTCACGCATCTGACCCCTCCCACTGGTCCTCCATCATCCCGCTCCCCTGGTCTGTTTTCTTAGAACTAACAAACCCTTCGAACCAGGCCTCTTCGCGCCAGCCTGGCGGTAGCGGCCCTCTGTACGGTGACGATTTGGTGCCCGCCCTGGCCCCTCATATGACATCTGCAACAGCAGCGTAACGATACTTGCTGCTGGGATGCGCCCGACCCAACTGCCGAAGGTCCTCCCGAGGGATCGAGCCCAGCCGGGGAGGGCGGGGGTGCCGAGTGCGGCCAGCAGGGCGGCGGAGTATCAAGCGCCAGCAGGGCGGCAGGCGGGCAGATCCGCGCCTGACGGGCCCAGGGCACAGGGCGTGGCGAGCAGTCCCACACCGGGGAGTGCAGGAGACGCCCGTGCGGACCGTGGGCGGAAGGCGGCCGAGTGCAGCAGCTGACCACGCGCGTGTAGCGCGGAGCGAGACCACGCCCAAAACGGAGCTGAAGCGTGCGGAGCAGGGCGACAGCTGCTGAAGGCCCAGAGGCCGGCTGGAGCAAACGGTCTGGCGATCACCTCTGGGGGGCCACCCAGGAGATCGAGCCAAGCCAATGGCGGGGGGGGGCGCTGCAAATGAGAACAGGCAGCACGAGGGCAGAAAAAGCGAGGCGTGGAGCGAGACCGCGTCCAAAGAGGAGCAAACGGGCAAGAGAGCAGCGCAGGCTTCCCAGACGGGAACAACGCCAGGCGCGGGCAGATCCGCGCCCGAGGCAGCTAAGGAGCTAAGGACCGTAGGGGTGGACCGGCGCCGGCGCCCGGCAAGCGGGAGTGGAGAGGCGGGCAGGCAGAGCGATAATAGGCGGGGGCGCCCGAGAGGGGCTGGCGGGGGGAGGCCAGCCAGGCGTGCTGAGCGCGCGCCTGCGGGAGGCGCCGCAGGCCGGCGAGACTGGGCCCGAGGCGGCGGCAGGCCTGGGGCGCAGAACAAGTGGCGGGGGGGCGCACGCGCAGCAGCCCGAGCACTGTGGACGCCCATGGCGCCATTCCTCGCACGCGGCCCGAAAGGCCCTGCATCTCTTCCGCCGTGGGCGCCAGAAGGGCCGGCCTGTGGGTGCAGATCGGGGCTCGTCGGTCGGCGGCAGCTGCGGGGCCGGCGGAGCTGGGGGAGCAGAAGCGGTTCCGAAGGCCGGCTCGGCACAGGGGTCGAGGTGTGCCGAGGCCGAGCTGCATGACCAGCCCTGCCACCTGCCACGTGGCGTTGCTGGTGGGCGGCCGCGCTTGCTCCATGCCTGACCCGAGTCAGGGTCACGGCTTCGCCAGTGGTAGCCCGTGGC